AAGTATTTATGAATTTTCGAAAATATTCGTCCACTAGTTTTATTGTTGGAATGAAATATAGCAAGATTTGCATTGCCTACTAAGAAAGTTAGTAGCCGGTAGTCATCGGGTTAAAGCATAAGCAAGGTCGACGTGTTCAAATTCACACTATTATTTGAATTCGCGTGCATTAAATTTTGATAACCGACGAACTGAAATATATGAAAATACTCACAAATATCCTTCCCTTCCGAAAAATCGCGGTCGCACTCTGTGTCCGAGGGTTCATAGCTGCCAGTAGCACACGAAGAAGAAGCTAGATGAATTGGACTATAGATGGCGTCTTGACTGGAACAGTAGTCACTGCTGCAGAAAATAACCCCACGTTCAGGCATTTTTTGATTATTTTCCTTTCAGGATTTTTTGGTAAAGTCTGAACTTTAAAGCAAAATATTTAAGCCACAGATATTTAGAAACATGGTGAAAGGAAATTCCGTTTTATTTTTGTGAGTGTGTGTGTGTTTGTTTTTTTTTATGATTTGGCGAGAAACTAAAATTAAACGAAATAAAATTCACTGCGCAAACGTTCACACGGGTACATTTCAACGCGTCTTCACATAAAGAGAAAAAATAAATATTTGGACTGAAGAAGTTAACAGTTACGTTTTTAATGCTGAAATGCTTTAAATGTTATATATGTAAGTTAAACAAAATGCCTGAAGTAGGGGTGGAAAAGAATATGTCACAAAAAGTCGTTAAGTCATTTCGTAGTTCAACACAAATGTTCAGTACTTAATCAAATCAAATCAGCCAAAGATTATCAGCAAAGAAACTCATTTAAGGTAAGACATCCCTAAGGAACATAAAAGAGTACACTTTGAACTTCTTTATAAATCTTAAACTTAATTTTGAATAAACATTAAGAATGTTCTTCAAGTTGTGAAATAAAAGAAGCATGAGCTTTAGGCTTAAATAAAGAATAACAGATTGACAAAAATCTTCGCAACTTTAACTTTTCATGCGAATACGCCTGTAAAGATTACCTTTCGTCAACGAATATTAAACATAAAATCTTATTTCAAGCAAAAATGAAAAAGGTTGAAATTGACAGAACTCATTAGAAATGTATGCGATATCTATTTCATCATAATACCTTATATTCAGATATGAACCACTTGGTTTTATTTGCATAAAATAATCGTTTAATAATAATTAACTTGACATATCCCACATTTGTTTGTTGATATATATTTTTCATACCACGATTGAGCCACGAGTTGATAATAATAAATCAATTGAACTTCTGTATAACAGCGCTATACGTACTATGTAATTAAAATAAAGAGAATTAGGTGCTCATTCTGAAAGTTTTCGTTTCGTTTCACAAATAATTAAAACTATATTATCGTAACGTGCTCATCTGGGCTTATTGAAAAACAGTTTGTTTGTTTGTAATCAAGCACAAAACTACACAATGGGCTATCAGTGCTCTGCCCACCACGGGTATCGAAACCTGGATTCTAGTGTTGTAAGTCCGCAGACATACCGCTGTGCCACTGGGGGGCCATATTGAGAAACACAGAGAAAATACTTGAAAATCGAAACTGCATTACTTAAAAGTTTTGGTGTTGAAGCGAATGCATGTTTGTTAATTTTGTGTCTATTGAATGAATTAGCAGATTCGTTGTAATAAATCATGCTTACAAATTAGTTTTACATAAAAACAAAATATTATAAACGATAACCTTATTACTTACTGTGTGCCCTGCAGTGGTGTAGGCCACCTACTGGAACCGTGATGAGCTGACTCCCCACTTCTTGACCTTGTTTGTTTACGAGGCTGCTCGTACCCTTCACTATGCTCTGCAGTGCCCTCTACGGGAAGAAAAATAAGATAATTAACTTGTCTTGGTTTGTGTGGCACCTTTAACAGTGCAGTTGCTTTTCACAACGGCTCTATGACAGAGCTTGATATAGTTTTTAACTCTTAAAAAATTACAGAAATATTAATTGTTCAAGAAACTGATGCTAGAGGCGTGAATACAAGAAATAATAATAATGAAACTCTTCACGAAGTATAGTCACGAGCAACTCCTCGTTATGGTAACATGAGTTGCACATTCGCCGAGTGATTTACAATTTGTGTGGCGGGATTAGGAATTAGACACGGTATACACAGGTGTATACTGTTACGAGTTATAGTATGAAATCTCTGATGGTTACTTTGTGGTTAAGAACTCGGTCACACCGACCGGGCCCGTAACGAGGCCATCCATTTTTTCTGTGTCTTATTCCTACTTCGACCTTACACGACATTTTAAGAACAAAAAAAGAATAAGATATATATATATCAAGTTTTTCTCCCCAGGCCCTTGCAGCCGTAAATATTTATTGCATCATATATTGAACCATTTCTGAGAATCTTACAGTCTACTAAAAGGTAGCAGGATGGTTTGAGTACTACCTGAAAAAGAAATAAGAGGACAACCCACCTTATCCCGCACCGCTTCAAGCGTTGGATAAGCAGAAGAATAGATCTGGCTTTCTGTAAAATATTTAAGTAACGTCAGAAAAACTATTCAAAGTATTAAAAATTCGACCGAACCCCCTATGTTTGTGATGTAAAAAAATTATGCTTATCAAGACTCAATAGTGAGTCGCGCGGCCAAAGAAAAGGTAAGCACGCCCCCCCCCCCCAAAACATGCAGTCACTATAGATAATCTTTTTACACGATATGATTGTGTACAAAATCGGCCCTTCTGAAACTCATTCACTTTAACAGCTACACCTTATATATATTCGATACTATACACCATCAAGACATTAGTAGTTAGCAAATAAAAAATGAAACGAGTCCTTGGATCCATTGCCGAGATATAGCCTAGCCGAATCTGACCATACTGTTCGTTTTCACACACCAAATTTGTTTTTATTGCGCGCGTGTTTTAATCTTCAAATCTCAACCATCACCTCAACCTTTGTCCGATTACTTTGAAATAAATATCATTACTTCCTTCATGTTCACTCTACTAGTAACAGTGTTTGTGTCTCAAAACAATAAGGTTTGTGGCCTACAAGGCTTGTTTTATCCAAAACAAAACCTAGATTTTTAAATTTACTTTAAACTTTACAACGATGAATAATATCATTACTTTTGTTTTTGAGCAAAATTTCGTGGTATTTTGACGATTAGTTTTATTCTAAAGTGCTTGTAAAATTTGAAATCGCATGTTCCAATGGGTGAAATTTAGACTGGTCTCCTGAGACTCGCGAGTTTTAATTGTTTGTTGAGAGTCATTACCACTTTGTCCAAGCTAATAGATTTGACTGTAAGTTTAATTTATGAGTTTATTTTCCTATGTACTCATGCTCGCTACATAACCATAGGACGTGTTTGTTTTCCAGTATTATTCACTATGTTAGTGGTGTGTGTTTACAGTTTATTTACACGTGCCAACTAATATATATTAGCTTTGTAAGTGGTTTTGGCGGACTGGCAGGCTTTGGCCAGAATTGACCGAGTTTTGACTGTTACTCACTATTGAAGTATGGTATAAACTTGCTGTGTGTGCTTGATGGTAACATCAGCAAGGGGTTTTGTCTTTAAATACATATATATATTGTTGTTGTTGTTTGTTAATAAGCACAAAGCTATACAAAGGGATATCTGTGCTCCGCCCTCCACGGTATCGAAACCCGGTTTCTAGCGGTATAAGTCCGCAGACATACTACTGTGCCACTGGGGGGCAATACTTGTATAACAAAGGTTTGTTATGGTTGTTTATGAATTTGTTGTGAATATATGTATGTTAGTATTGACAAAAAAGCAGCCAACTGACAAGTAACTCATACTTGTACTATCGTTATATAAAACTGACAAACATGGTAACAAAATAATTCCAAATCAATTATAGACTTCATTTTTTTTAGCAAGCAATTTTAAACTACGTATCAAATAATACTGATTGCCTTGGCCACATTCTGATATCAATTATTTTAGTTGCTGTTTGTACAACAAATAACTATTTTCTTGGCCACGCCTTTTTTTTTACAGCCAAGCCTTTTTTGGTTTGAATATAGTAGTTACAGCTTATGGTATTGAACGTTTTCTACATAGTCTACATTCTTCTGATAAAGCATTAGCATTTTCTGGCTTGAAATAGTCGCATGTCCCCAGACCGCCCCCCCCCCCCATAGCATTACAAATTGATCTCACAAATTAGAAACCCCCTTTCAAACATTCTGCATACGGGCCTGAACACGAATATGTGAATGAAATAATTTCAAAAACGGTATTTATCATAATCTTTGATGTTTAAAAAAATTTTTGTTGAGTAGTGTTTACATTAATAAAAGTTATAAATAAGAAATTTTCACTTGAACTTTCTGCACAAAATATAACTTATCGGTACACTGAATTTTATTACCAAATCTATCGTGGAAATAATCACGAACAGTTAGTTTTTCTTGTGCGATTGGTTTTAATTTTAAAAATCAGATAAACAGAAATTTCGTGGCAGATATCACAGCTGATCCCCATAATTATAAAAAAACACTGTTTTTTTATTATATAATTAGTTTCACCTCATTTTAGAAAGTAAATTAGAAGTTTGAAGGCAATATTAATTTCTTTAGTACTGCGTTATCATTTGAGTTTTATTGATTTCAGTAAATGGTGAGAGTAGTTATTAGAACTGATCTTTTATTTTTACTTGACAACTCTAACACGTGACACGGCTTTGTGATGACGACTCTGAAATTTGGAACAAATTTTTGGTTATGAACAATAACGTTTTAACGAAGAAAAAAAGATTAAATTTTCAATAAAAAAATCAAAAATATATCTGTATATTTGGATTAATTTAGTAAATTCTTAATTAATTTGAATTATGTTATTTTTAGTGTTCACCATAGTCTGAGCTTCCGTCACTTCCGTTTCTTGTATCTTGGCAATGGTCAGCAATCATTTTGAACTTGCTTTTTCTCTGTAATAGATAAATATAGAAACTAGGATTAATCTGCAAGTCTTCATACATTGCAAATGCATTAATGTATCGTTAATGGACAAGAAATGGTGACGACCACAGCGAATTACGTGGTCCGCGTGCTAAACAACATATGACTTATAACACTCGAAAATAGCACCAGCATCTGCATCAAAACTTAGGAGATGAAAATTACATAATATTTTTTAAAAGATTCTCCTACGAGTATTTCTGAAAAAGTATAACCAAACTATTAAAATAAGCTACTTGGTTAATTATCAAATGAGTAAAGCTGTGTTCATTATGACCTTACAAACGTCCACTTAACAACACAAACAGTTTTTACCATATCTACCGTGATGGCCAGAATATTCCTGTTTTTTCGCCTAACAAAGAAATCCGTACATATTTTATAAGCATAAAAACCAAAGAAACTATATACGGGCACGAATCAGTATTTGTTGTAAAACACAAAGCTACATGAGGAATTATCCGTGATTTGCTCACCACGGGTTTGAAACCCGATTTTTAACGTTATAAGCCCAGAGACTTACCGCTGCACCACCAGGAGGGATCAGCATAAATACAAATGTTATCAAACAGAGTAAGCGCTAGGGTAAAACATTTAGCTCAGTTAGTGTGTGCGAGGTCTCGGGTTCGAATCCGAAGCAAGAAAATAATAAAAAAATACCTAAACAAATTTTCATAAAGAAAAATTTGCGCCACACGAAGGAAGAATGTGGTTGTTAGAGTTAGTTGTAAAAACTACCTTAAGAGCAATTACTAGTGGTTTAACCCTTTAGGCCAGGTGGTACAGCACTCGCCTCGTGTGTGCCAGGTCTCGGGTTCGAATCGGACACGAGTGAGCACAATTCCAGGTCTTGTTAGCACAAGCGCTATGCAAGAGTTACGTAAATTTATAATGTAAGGTCATCTTTTCCTTAATTCTGTATAAGGCACTGAGTTTTGTAGGGCATGTGAAGATTCTCGTCTATGTAGGACATCTGTCATATTTACACTTTATCAGCATCTACCTGAAGGACTTATCGTAAAGAATACGATTAAATGACAAAATGCCGGTAATCAGTTAGAAGTCAATAGACATATTGTTAGATTTTATGTATGGGGCAGATTTTTTACAGTGACTTGTTGGCGATGCATTATAACTATAAACAAACAGAACAAAGTCTACTTGTTATAAAATAATATATAATAAAACAAGTCAAACGTATATACAAATGTGCGTTACATTGTTGGTTATCACAGTTGTATCCAGAGTTTTAAATAATTGTTTCTTTTCCGTAAAAGTCCGAACAGGCTGGTTCATTTACTTTAGAACACAACTGATAAGACAAATTATTTCTTCTCTACTCTGTTATTACAATACAATCTGTGATCATTTCATTTTAAAATCGCCACAACCCGCTCTTTATGGCTAAACTCACATTCACATAGTCTAATATAATTGAACAAGAGTTAGGACATAGACACTGAATTGTTTTGCAAAAGAGAAATACATTGCTTCTTTATACTGTCTAATCAGTCCAATTATATGTTATTGGGAATAAACTATTCTCACCTAAAACTATCAAATAACACCAAACACCAGTCACAAATCTTCTGAGTAATCATGGTATTTCTTGGCGTTGTGCTCAAATACAACCAAGAACCTTTCATATCTCATTGATCAGCAATAATTACAGTTACAAGTTACCTTACTTAGTCAACGATCAGAAATAGGTACAGTTACAAGTCCCGTTTCTTAGTCAAAATTCAACGATAATTACAGTTACAAGTTTCATTACTTAGTCAATGATACAAAATAGCTACAGTTAAAAATTCTCTTACTTAGTCAACGATCAACAAAATTTATAGTTAAAGGTATCCTTACTTAATTAGCAAGCAACAATAATTACAGTTGTAAGTATTTTTACTTAGTCAGCAATAGAAAATAATTACAGTTACATGTTCCCTTACCTTAAACAGCAAGCAAGAATGATTCCAGTTACAAATCCTCTTACTATGTAATAATTACAGTTAAAAATTACCTTACTTAGTCAGAATTCGGCAATAATTACAGTTACAAATTCCCTTAATCAGCAATCAGCAATAATTACAGTCGTAAGTATTCTTATGTAGTCAGCAATAAACAATAAGTACAGTTACAAATTCCCTTACTCAGCAATAAGCAATAATTACAGTTGTAAGTATCAGTGGCGGAGCAAGGATTCTCAGCCACCGGGGGAAAAGACACTTTTGGCGCCCCCACTTCTGAAATGTTTTGATTATTTGTTTTGTGACTCATTACCCACTTAATGACAATCACATAACGAATTGATTACCACCTTACACAGGCCTAAAATAAAGTCATAATATAACATCTCACGATATCACAACTGTAAACCTGGAACTAATGGAACCCATTTTGATATTTATGTCATCCAGTATTGTTCAAAGTCACATAGCTAGAGTAATCTTTCAAGCATGCAGAATAAATTTCTGTTATATCCCTAGTTTTGAAACTTATGTTTTATATAAGAAGTCAGTCACTTGTGGTATACATGGATTATAAAACAGATTGATGAAATACTACTTAAGTTTACATATAACAAATTTTATTAGTTTACAAAACTGTACATATACTTGACTAGATCT